AACATGTCGTCAACATACAACAATAAGATAATAAAGTTATTTTCACCAAAGCTCTTAAAATATGCACAAGGGTTTTAAATAAATCTGTTGTATCTAAGGCTCATGATGGATGAATCAAATCTCTTGTACCAACACCTCGGTGCCTGTTTTAGACCGTACAGAGATTTGTTCAATCTGCAAATCAACTTCTATTTTCCTTTTTTTTCAAAACCTTCTAATTACAGCGTGTAAATTTCTTCTTCAAGATCTCCATGAAGAGATGATGTTTTCACATCTAGCTGCTCTAGATATAAGTCAAATATAATGCTCATAGTCAAGACTATTCGAACTGTTGTAAGTCAAACTACAGGAGAAAATATTTTATTAAAGTTAATACATTCTTTCTGAGCATATCCTTTTATTACCAATCTAGCACGATATCACTCCACTTGATCATCTTCATTTCGTTTGATCTAGCCTTCCGCCTAAAAGTCTTTATCCAGATTTATAGTTGCCAACATTGCTCTTGTTCTTTTCAACAGAATTTTATTCATCCGCTCCGCCACTCCATTTTGTTGAGAAGTATAAGCAGTACTGAATTGTCTTTTGATGCCTTCTTGCTTGTAAAATATAAGAAATTCACCGTCTGTATATTCTCCTCTATTATTTGACCTCAAGTACTTAATCATCTTTTCAAATTCAAACTTGACTCGCACTTTATAGGCTTTAAAGATTGAGAACACATCCGCCTTCTTCTTAATTGGATACAGCCAACATCTCATGGAATAATCATCAATAAAGGACACAAAATATTTTGCTCCTCCTATGGATGTAACTGGTGTTTATCATACATCAGAATGAGCCAATTCTAGAATAGTCTTACTTCTAGAACTCAATGCGTTAAACTTTAGCCAATACTGCTTACTTGTAACACAATGCTCGCAGAAGGGAAGAGCTATCAAATTAAGTCTAGGAAGTAGCTTCTGATTGGAGAGAATCTTCAATCCTCGTTCTGACATGTGGCCTAGTTTGCGATGCCACATCATGATTTGTTCTTCTCCATGGCTAGTTGATGCCACATATGAATCAGCTTCCTACAGGATTTCTCCATTTGAGTATATATAGATTTGCAGCTATCTTTTCTCCTTTTATCACAACAAGCACCCCTCTAACAATCTTCATGATCCCGTTTTGATATGGGTCATACACCCGAGCTCATCTAATTATCCTAAAGGTAATAGATTCTTCTTCAAGCCTTTCACATGTCGTACATCTTGAATGGTACATATTGTATCATCAAACATTTTAATTTTGATAGCACTAATACCAAATATCTTCAAGGCATGATCATTGCCCATGAATACAGATCCTCCTGAGATAGGTTCATATTTGTGAAACTAATCTCTCCGGAAGCTCATGTGCCAAGAGGCTGGTGAATCTAGAATTCAGACATCAGCAAATCTCTTTCTGCCTGCATCAATAGTGGTTGCTCAACTCTATAAAATTTCTTCATCATCTGATGTGCTAATAACGCATCCTTAAGATGTTGATGGCTCTGATGACTTTTTATCATCACTCTTCTTATTGTGCCAACACTTCGATTTCGCGTGCCCTCTTTTGTCACAATTGTAGCATTTGATATTCTTCTTACTTCTTAATTTTGATCTAACATGGGTTTGACTCCCACTAAAAAGATACGTTTCGATGATCTTCTTCTTGTTACCGATAAAGCTTCTGCTTATTGCGAACTTACCTATTTGTCTTCCTTATTATTGTGCTGCTTTTCTTCCTCTAGAGGCTTCTACCATGAATAATAACTTCTTACTATTTCAAGTAAATAGTAATTGTATTTATAAACAGTAACTATATCTGTGAATAGTATCATACTTGTGAATAGTACCGTACTCATAAATAATACATGTCGCCTTCAAAAGGTAAATGATAATCTAATTTATTTTTTGATGTAGAGAATCCACCTTTGGTGGCACCCACAGAGCATATAATAAATAGATACAAGCACCCTAAGCTAGACTCGAATACCACTTGTTGGGACAAACCCAGGGTCCAATAGAGCAAGGTCCCGACGAATAGTAGAGCATAAATAATAAAATGAACACACACAGAATCACGTGAAAACCCCCTAAATGAATTTAGGGTAAAAACCACGGGCAATGATAGAAGAATCCACTATGAGAAAAATTTAGGAGTTACAATCTCTCTTCACAATGAAAAATTCTCTCTAGTTCTCTCTCTCTCTCTCTCTCTCTCTCTCTCTCTCTCCTCTCTCTCTCTCTCTCTCTCTCTCTCTCCTCTCTCTCTCTCTCTCTCTCTCTCTCTCTCTCTCCTCTCTCTCTCTCTCTCTCTCTCTCTCTCTCTCTTTCTTTTCACTCTTAATTGTAGACACTGAGATGATCAAAACTTAACGTCAGAGAGAGGTATATATATTCTTTTCACTCTTAATTGTAGACACTGAGATGATCAAAACTTAACGTCAGAGAGAGGTATATATATATATGTGAGTTTGTGGTAGGTGAGCACTGTCGCAACAGTGTTTGCTATAGTATTGTTACAGTAACATTTTTTCGTGTTTGCGGTTGGTATTTACCGTAGCATGGTTGGCGATTACTGTAGCAGATAGGTGATACATTTACTTTTCATCAGATGACTCATCAATGGAGCTCATGCTTCTCTATTTTGTAGTGTAGGGATAGCTTTGAAAAGAGCAGTATAGGTTAATGAATGGAAGCAAAACTCCAGAAAGTATTACATAGAGTAAACTTTTTTATTTAGATTTAAAATACTCTATGCGGTAAGTTGTATGCAGGTTTTCAATTTCTGTTTAATTATTCATGTGCGAAATTGTGCAACTTAAGAGTTTGATGTACTCTCTCTTATTTTCCCCTTTCAAAATTCACTCCGAGTCACTGCTTTAAAAAAAAAACTCTCCCATGAAGATCCTTTTTATTTCAATATGGAAAATTATTCTCCTTTATTTGTAAAAGCATATGAATAGAAAATTTCTAAGGAAGATAATGTCCATCTATTTAAATTAATATCATTTATTTATTTTTATTTGCTTAATTTTCTACTGAAAGTTTCGGTGTGAGTCATCAGTAACATATTAACAAGACATTTGTTCAACCTTCTAATAATATACAATATGTATAAATTTGTGACATTTGTCCTTTAACTAAAAGCAGGTAACCGTATAACCTAATTCAATGGAATCATTAATAAGGTGCAGGGGTGAGCATAGTTTCCGTTCAAACCGAACAAACCTACTAAATCGGTCGAAATTTAACAGTTCAGTTCGAGTTTTACTAAAGCTCGGGTTGGGTTGAAGTTTTTTCAGCCCGAACTGACAAAATTGTACTACCCATTCTAATTACTATCCGCATCCGCTTAAACCCGACCCATTATAGTTTATGTAGAGTTGGTTCGCCGCAGCTTGATATCTTTTTCTCTCATGTCACCTGATAGCGATGAAATATCCCAACAATTGTGTCATCTCCAATTCTAGGGCTATTCATCATCTCTAGTTTTCTACATCTCTCTATTATCTATTCACTTCTTCTATTTTGGACCAATCCACTTTGGAGGTAAGAAACTTAAACCATAATTTTTTATTCTAACATTTTCTTAATTTTCCCCCCTCGATGGATACATCTTTGGATCAGACTTATCTTTGCATCAGACTTATAATTTTATTGAAACTATACCTAACATCCAAATTATTACATATTTTTTTATTTACTTTGTCTATCAAATTGAGATCACTTTAACTCTTTATGTAAGCTTTCTCAAAAAAATTATTATGTAAGCCTTGGCAGGAATAATATTTTGATTTCTACATCTAATATTCAATAGTATTTGTTGGTTTATGATTTTTAATAAATTGAAGTGTAAAAGACTTCTTTCTTCATCAACATATTAGAGGTGAAATTAAATTTGGACATAACATTTGTACCCAAGTGAAATCCAAACAAACAAACCCGAACCGAACCGAACCGACTTGAATTGGTTCGATTCGGTTTTGAATGAGAGGCAGTTCAGTTCAGTTTGGCCAAATTTAGCCAAAAAATGAACGGACCGACCGATTGCGTAACCCTAATACGGTGGACATATGTGATAACTAATTTTAAATACCAAGCAACAAGGACTTACTAGGTTAGACCCTCAATAACTTTTAGCATTTTGTAGTAAACCCGAAATAACTTTCAACACTATAGTAAACCCCTAACAACTTTTACGGAAAACCAACAATATATTTTGGATAAATTACACTAAAGCCCCAATAACTTTTGAAATGACCTTTTCATGTTGTGTTTTGGTTCGAATTACGGGGTTATCGGTAAAATGCAAAAACTCATTAGGAGTTTTCTGCAATTCTAAAATTTTGGGAGTTTATTATGATTTTGAAAGTGTTTGGAGGTTTATCGCAAAATGCTAGAAGCTCTTCGGGGTTCAGTTCATTTTACCAAATAAAATTTTGTATCTCTTTATATGCATTTAAGCATCAAAGTTTTGTTTTTGTTACTAGAGTTTAAAAAAGTGGATCTTCTCCTTTTCTCAAGTAGGGAGATTTATTGTTTTATCACAACTATATATAATCATACAGACTATTATGATAAGAATTACATACAGAGACAAAAGAAGGGACCATATTTTTGTCTCACTACAACCACTACCAATGTAATAATCTCTCCACTTCTCTTGAGAGCTTGAAAGGAACAGTTTCCCAACTTCATAAAGGAACTATTTTTTTTTTGAACTGAAAAAGCAGGGTAAGAAGCCCTGCTCATGTTGAGATTTTATTTATAGGCGAAAAATTACACAACTAAATGAAGGGCCGCTTTGGGTGAAGCAGGTAAGGAGCGGACCTATGTCGTCACCGAAAAATTACACAACTAAATGAAGGGCCGCTTTGGGTGAAGCAGGTAAGGAGCGGACCTATGTCGTCACCTACCAAACTTGACCCGCAGTGGAGAAGGAGCGGACCTATGTCGTCACCTACCAAACTTGACCCGCAGTGGAGCTTCATCTAGACAGCACAGAAAACATAACTTACTGACTTGAGTTCACTAAACACATGCGTTTGAAACATAAACAACTTAGTCTGTGACACTGACATCAAACGAACACAAAACAGAAGATGGTGGAACTTCACCAGCAGAAGGTGAAAGGATAAAGGGTTAGATGTCGTGGGGGAAGCTGTCCCCAGATGCGTCAACACTCTTGTTTGCAAGCTCCTGGAGTCCCATGCTTATGGTGGCCCTGCGAAGCCTTCTTTCCAACCTCTCGTCAGCTGCACCTGTCCAAAATACAGTATATCTCCCTATGTTAGCAGCAGTTTGAAGAGGATCAGGTTGCTCTTCCTTAAAAATGAGTACGTTTCTGCTAAACCATATCCACCAGCAGACACATGGCAACAGAATCTTCCAAATGATTTTAGCATCCTTGCTAAGAGAGGTGGACTTATGGAAAAGAATCAACTCATCGACTGTATGAGGCCAGCTGCTTATGGGAATAGAGGGGAAGATATGAGACCAAATTTCTTGAGCAAATGGGCAATTGATAAATAGATGGTCGTGAGTTTCAACACCAGATAAACAGAAAGAGCATCTTGGATCACCTGTCCATCCCTTAATTATCAAATTTGCCTTCGTATTTAACTTCTTATTTGTGATGATCCAAAAAAGAACTTTAACCTTGTTTGGGATGGGGGATTTCCAAATCATGTGATGAAATTTGGATCTAATACCCCCTGAGATAACAAGAGAGTAGAGAGATTTAACTGAGTAAGCCCCCGATGGATGAAGAGTCCACTGAAGCTCATCTGGAGCAGAGGATATATTGATATTGGAAGAATTTAAATGAGTAAGGAGAAGGTTTAGATCTGACCTTTCAGATGGCGATATACCTCTTCTTGTAAGAGGATGCCAGATCCATGAGTGGTTAATCATTCTGCCCTGGGATCTGATGCAACAAATAGTTGATTATGACCAACAAAAACTGACCATTACACAAATCCCAGAATTTTTTTTTCCTTTTCCTTTTTTCATAGGAGAGAAATCATATCTTTAATTTGAAGGTATGGTTTTTTGAAAATAAAAAGGAATCATGTATTTACATGAAGTCTACAATATCAGCCGCTAAAAGGTTAACAATGCCGCAAGTTTGGATTTTCGTTACTGACATAAGAATATCCTTTCCATCGGCTAGGAATTCTCTACATATTTAGTTGCACAAGAATCCTATAAATTTACCATGTTGACCAATAGCACTTGTTTATGCTAGAGCTCATGAAAGATATCTGAGTGCGTAAATAAAGGCTAAATAGCACTTAAATACCTCATATTTTGACTCATTCAACACTTATATATATATCCTCATTTGTATTTTTAGCACTTATATATCCTAAGTTATTCACAATTGTCTCGTTGGCACCCTCTATCACGCGAACGTGAATATTTTCACCCAAATATTTCTCTATAATACTTACTGGCTAATTATAGAGTTGTCTAACTGTAAATATTTGTTAAATTTATCACTAAATCCGTCCCAGGTCTAATTTAGAGTATAGCTAAAATATCAATTTAAAATAATACTTCGATAGGTTTAAAACAAACACTAATGCGTATAAAGCTCCATAATTAGTCTGTAAGTATCATAGAGGAAGATTGGGGTGCAAAATTTCATGTCTGCATGATTGATGATGCTAATTTTAAACAACTTGGTACGCTATGAAAAACAAGCAAGGGTATATAAATGCTAATTGAGTGAAACTGTGAGCTATTTAAGTGCTATTTAGCCATAATTAGATTATATAACTGATTCAAATACCAAACTGCAGGATTTTTCCGTACCCAAGGAAATCCATGAGAACCGAGCGCTTTTTCTTTCAAGTGGGGCCCAATACGAACATAATTTCAAAGGCCCGGCCCAGCTCAAGTCTGGTGGGCTAGCGGAAAAGCTCTCGACGCACACGCAGAGATCAAAATGACCCATCGCATTCTGAGCGCAACTGTACCCTCAAAGCTCTCAGAAAAGAATTCATCTTGTTCATAAACCTGAAAATAAAAAAAAATAAAAATAAAAAATAAAAAATTTCGTTGCAGGCCAGCTTGGACGATCACCGTCAAATCACAAATCTATGGCATCTGATTGCATTCCGATGAATCAAAATAGCGATGAACTAACAACTTATCGCACACAAGCAATTAAAATGGTTCATGGGAGAGAATTCCAACAGGAGGAGGAGGGGGGGAAAAAAGAAAAATAAAAAGAAAAAGAAAAAGAAAAAGAAGAAAAAACTTCCAGAGCTATCAGCTAACGAATCACATGGTGACCAATGTGCAGTTGTTTGGTCTGGTCAGCTTATGGAAAAAAAGAAGCGACCTTTTACTCCCAGTGATGAAAATGAAAACATCACCGCAGAGCAAACAGTTTCCAGTACAGTTGTGGTTATATTCCTCTGTTTCTGGTAAACTGAGAATCTAGAGAGAGAGAGAGAGAGAGAGTAGGGGGTTGGGGGGGTTTTTTTTAGAGAGAGAAAGAGTGCTGTTCCTTGTGTGTATTTGTGGCAAAAAATAATGACTTGGAGCTGCTGCTGCACACAGACAAGGGAAAAGTTGCCTAGATCTCTCTCTCTCTCTCTCTCTCTCTCTTTCTCTCTCCTCAAAAGTCTCACCTGCTTCTCTCTCTCTTCACTTCAAGGTAATCTAACTCGAACCCATCTCGATTTCAATCTCTAGATGTAGAATTTGTGGTCTAAAGATCTTGATTTGGGTCTTCCTTTGATTGGATTGGCTTTGAGGAAATGGGTCCTCTTTTTTTTTTTTAATAAATTGGTTGTGCTGAAATTGGTGGCTATGGTGATGGGGTTTTGGATTCTGGGTGTAGATCTATTATGGGTTTTTCCTGCTTGGTAGTTTTTATGCCCATTTCTGCTGCTATGGTGGTTTAGTTCATGTAATTCACTGGTTTTCTTGTGTTTAGATTCAAACTGTTAAGTGTATTATTGGGATTATAACGAAACCATCAGTTACTGGAGGTTGGGTTGCTCCAGGTTTTGTGTGGATGCATGATGTCTAGTAATTCGAGTTGAATTGGTTATGCGTGGGCATGGATTGAATGCAAGCTCAATTGTTCTTTTACGCGATTAGTACAAAGGAATTTTGGGGTGTGCAGAATTGCTTTGAGTAGGGATTTGTGGGTGATAGGGTAGATTTTTTTTTAATTCTTTGGTTTTCTAGTGATCAAATTGTGCGATCTATCATCTTTTGTGCTGGTGATTATAATTATCGCATTTGGGTTAATCTGTTACAGGTTATGTCATTGCGAGGCTTGAGTTCCGTTAATCCACACTATGAAGAATAAGGAAGAGCTTAAACTATTTCTTATATAAAGTTCACTTCCTCTGCAGTCATTATTTGTCAGCATCTATGAATTTATGCCGGAAATTCCGGTTACTTGTATGAGCAATTTCAGTTCACTATCAGCCCCCTTGTGCCAATGGGCATAGTAAAAATCAGGCACCAGGGGGCATTGAATAAAAGCCGTGGTCGACTTGTTCAAGAGGAGAGGTTGCTGATCAAAGGAGAAATTGATGATGATGTTGATGACTCGGATCCTGCCGAGGTTGGTTGTGAATTGGTCATTGTTGGAGACCAAACTTGCAATATTCCTTATGATCTATATGATCTAACAAGCTTAAAAGATGTACTCTCTTTAGAAACTTGGAACTCTTGCTTGACTGAAGAGGAAAGGTTCTATCTATCAGCTTACCTGCCCGATATGGACCAAGAGACATTTTCTCTCACATTAAAGGAGTTGCTTAATGGAGATAACTTGTTGTTTGGAAGTCCCTTGGAGAATTTTTTTTGTAGTCTTCAAGGTGGATTCTACTCTTTTCAAGTAGCCCCAATTAGAGAAGGCCTCCGGTTTTTACAGAAACGAGAACACTGCCATTCTTTAAGATTGTACCATGAGAGTATGAATGAGAAGTTTGAGGACATGAGGAAGGCTTGGAGTAATTGCCTACCAAGCACCACTATTGAAGAAAGGGTTCGAATATGGAACAATCGAAAAATTCAGAAGCCTGTCCTACTTGTTGATCTTAATGCCATCCCTACAGATGAAGAAACATTAAAAGCTGAAGAATTTCCATTATTGAAGAAGACAAAATACATGGGTGATGGTCTTAATCTACATACTCATGCTATTGATTTGAATAGTGTGGCAATGAATACAAAGCCAAAAGGCAAGGGGGTTTTGAGAATCAGAGCCATGGAAACAAATTCAACATCGAATCAGAGAATACGAAATTTGCCAAGTGCTTCTCGGGAAACTTGTAAAAGGGTACCTAAAGGTGTATTGAAAATAAAGCCCAAAGCCGATCCTTTTGGTCCAAACCAAATTGCAAATAGTCTATCGGGAATTCATGAAAACAAAATTTCTCCTCCAGTTTCAGCTTCGAATTGGAATGAAGAGACAGATAGTGATGAAGACACAAATAGGGTTTCGGAGCAACCTGAGCCTTCAAATGATTGGGGAAAAGAAGAGTTTTTGAAAATGGGCATTGGATCAGTCAATGATTCTCATGGCTACCCTCGAAGAGTAAAGGCAATGCTGAGCAATAGACTGCAAGATGCTTCTAGTCTACAACAAAGTAGAGTACTTTGTGCAAGCTCATCTAATTCAGACATTTTTTGTTCCAGGAAACCGACACCAACAGTTTCAGGAGAAAATGCAAGGATGAGCTCATTTCAACGGTATTCTGAACATTCAGAGAACAAGCATAAAGATCAGACTGATGGAAAATTAAGCACCACATCAGACTCTACAGTTGTATCAGGAGTTGAAAGAGAGATCATTTTTCCGATAACATACAAGAGGAAGAAACCATTCAGAGAGTTCAATCCAACGCAGTCTCTTAAACAGCCAGCTGTGGTCGCAAATCTGGAATCAATTGTGTCAAACAATGATGAAGGAAATCTAATTGGGAAAGCTAAGACTGTAAAAATAAAACTCAAAGGGTGGAATAATCACAAAGCTCAGAACAAACAGGGGTTCTTGAATCGGCTGCAACATGGATCTCCTTGAGCTTCAAGAAACTTAAAGTAAACGAAATCATTTTGGTAGTATCTTGGTGGAAAGCTGCAATTTGATGGCTAAACTTTTGACAAGGAGCTCCAAGGAAAGATTTTGCAGGTAACTCCACAATAACTTGAGAAATTCAAGCTGATGAGAGTTGCAGGAAAAAGAAAATGACCATATATGTGGTGTCACATATGTATAGTTATATAGATATACCTTTTGCTTATTTTCATGGTTCATCCCTTTCTGTTGGAGGATGTGTTTTGTTTTCTCTGTGTTAGACTGAAGCAGGTTTTAACCTCTTGAATAGTTATCAACTCTTGCTGGTTTAGCTAGATGATAAATTCATAATCGTGCCCATATGTATCTTATCCATGTATCTTGATGTTAGTGATGAATAGACATCCTTGAGTCAAATCACAAATGTCTGTATAGTTTCTCTCTCATGTTTTGTTCAAAAATCTAAATATTTCAACTAGAGGTCCAAAGCTGGGCATTGAAAATGTTTGAGCAATATGATCTAGTTTGTATATTTTGCTATACTCAACTCAAAAGAGGTAAAGCGAAGTTCTGAAGTTGCTGATTGTTATATAGCACAGATGCAAAAAGTACTAGTGTTAAGAAATGACAAGTTAGACAATGAAGTGGGAGTGGCGGTACTTGGTAGTTCCTTGCTTATGATTTTCATGCAGGAAAAAAAAAGGATACTTATGAACTTTCTCCCCTATTGAAGAGAGGCTGGGAGTAGGAAATATTTAAAGGAATTACTTCCCCTTTGGGGCACAAAAAGATGACTAGCTCTTTGATACATGAACTGTAATGTTTTATACTGTTTACCTTCCTGTGGCTTCAGTTTCTTTAATATAAGTGCACTAGTTGTGAACACCGTGCAAAGCACGTCATATCATTTTTTCCCGCTACAGCAATCCTGATTTTTAATTACTGCAGTAATAATTTTTTGCATTGCTACAGTCCACGCCTCCGCTCCAGCTTTTTAAAAATGCTTCAGTATTCCCCGTGTGCTACAGTGGTATTTTTTCAAAAAAAGCCACGGTATCCGGTTTCCTGTTTGCTACAGCAATAACATTACAGTAAATGTTACTGTAGTATTTACTGTATTATGAATGGTAAATCTTGGATTCTCCCATTTGTATATAGGAGTAGATTGGTTCATGCTGAAACTAGTCTAGGTTTTCTTTTCTTTTTTCTTCTTTTACTTTTGATCTCCCTTTGGCAGTATACAATTGGAAATATGAAACTCATGGAAGGGAACCTTCCTTGCACTGCTTTATGCAAAAAACTATTTTCTCACTCTTCTAGAGAAGAAAAGGGATACTGCTGGCATCCTGAGTCACAGGAATCTAAAATCACCTAACTATTCTGATTCCCTTTTCTTTGAAGACTCCTACAGTTTACTTGAAGAAGCATGAAGAAATGAAGAACAATGAGAAGAAAGACCAACTAGGTATTTTCCCCCTTCCTTTTTTGCATTCCTATTCCTTTTCATTTTCCAAAGCATTTCCAAACATTGTTTTATAATCTACCATGCTATGTCAATTTTGTGTGCAGGATGTTCTTTCTTTGAATTCCAGTGAGGAGACAGCACCTCACTTTCGAAAGATATGCATAAAGTAGATAACAATCTTTGATGATCTCCAGCATGTTTCTGAGAGATGTGTTTGCCAGCTGTGTGACGGTGAACATAGAATGCAAGTGGTTACATCATTCTATAAAGGGAAATTTTTTTGTTGGAGTATCATCTATATACCTTTTAGCTTGTGTGCGCACGAATCTCTGAAAAAGTCTATGTATGCCTTGCTTCAAATATAGAAAAACCTGAACCTTTTGCACAAGAAGAATGAAAGATGCAGACTGGAGAAAGTGTTGCTTTTCTTATCTTGGTATTGCTGTTTGTAACTCCCATCCCAGGATTGAGAAAAAGATGCAGAAGTGTGAGATTATTAACGGAGTGCACAAAAATGGATCTTGGATCTACAGGGAGTCATGGAGGGGAGTTTTCGTCGTCGTCAATGAAAGGACACGTATCTCGTCAATGATCTGAAGTTTGTTTTTACTGACAAGGGAACTTGTTACAACTTCTCAGGAACCTCAGAAGTGTGAAAAGATGGTGAGAGTAGCTGCAGTTGTTTCTAATGTCGAGTTAGACTTGGAGATTCTTTTTCCTACCAGCTGTTATATACTTTGTCAAGTTTAAGTCCTTGATAAACCTTGTGCATTATACAATAGTAACAAAGAATTTTGTGTGGAGAACGTATGTCGAGAATCATATACGTTTCTTTGACTACTGGGTTCTGATATTTTGTATCAAAACAGCGTTTGTACCTTCTCCAATTTATCAAACCTGTTTCCAGTTCTTGCCAAAAGATGCTGCACACAAGTTGACTTCAAAAGCAAGAAAGATGAATGTGAGATTTATGGAAATAAACATCAAGAAATTTGGAGGTTTATTGTTCAAAGTTCCTTGTTCTCGGAAGATTTTCACAAAAGAGACAAGATAATAATAAGAAACAGGTGACAGCCCAAAGGGAAAATACTTCATTCGCCCATTTTTTCTGTCCTTTTTACACAAAATAAAAAAAAAGAGAAAAGAAAAAGATAAATAAATAAAAAAGAAGAAAGGGGGAAGAAAAAGGGAGGGTATGTTTAAAGCTCCTCCTTTAGCAAGGAAAACAATCAAGTGTGCTGTCGTTTTGCTGAATATGACACCAACACTTCGAATATAAACAGAGCTTAGATTTCGTGAGATCCACCACATAATATCAACAAAATTCAAACACCCAGATTGCTGAAGACAAAGGTTGCAACACAAAGTTGGTTCAGGAAAATGAATGCTTTTCATTGAAGCTCATGGGAATCATGGGAAAGAACATGATGTTGCACATTGACATATTGAAGTACAATGCTGCGGCTTTTAACCTGCTGCTATCCCAATCAATTACACAATTGAAAGAAGGAGAATGGCCAAGGCGTCAGTAGGAAATAAACAAATCAGATTAACTGACTTAGCGCTAGTTCACCTTCTCAATGGTCAAATAACAGACTTCGTGTCTTTGTGTCAATGGCCAGATCAACACCATCAAAAGAATCTAGAACCCCGAGCTCTCTGCACCCCGAGCAAAATGGGACTCTATGGCCATTTACCAGCAAAGAGTCATCCTCCAGGGGCTTGATATGGAAGTAACAAGAAGAGGAGCATTCTGATCAACCATTTGGTTGGGGAGGCCGATGATTAGGTGGCGAGTATGATGAGCTTTCTGGCCTCCAACGATCGAAGATTATCCTTCCTCCTCGACCCATTCTACCATGGAAATGATGCGGTGGCCCCACTGAACCATTTTCAACAGGAGTTGGTGGCTGTTCTATGCCTGCAGCAGCCAATCTCCCTGAATCTAGGGGTCTCGTGAAAAGAAATACAGGTGTATTTGGGTCCTGCAAGAATGTTTTTAGTCGCCACTTATTAGTTAAATCTGAATCTGGTGATAATTAAATACCTTAACTGGCATTACTTGTATAGCAAAGTGAAGTGGATGGTGGAACAAGATTCAGATGCTATGGAACATTTGTGTATGCTTACTTAACTGGTAAGAGAATGATTGCGTTAGAAAACATGATAAGTATATTGTCAGTTGTGGCTATTTGGTGAATAAAATGTTTCAACAGTAAAATGTCTTGAAATATGAGATGCAACCCAATGTGCGGAATCATAATTGGAACTAATGATCATTACTTCTATTTCTTGGAACTAATGATCATTACTTCTATTTCTACATGTTAATCTTCCATTACACTCGAGCTGTTATAACCATTACTTGACCTGTCATATGGAAGCAACTGAGATGTGTTGAAGTTATAGCAAAGGCTATAAAAATATTATGGTAAACATGATACATGAGTGAGAAAACTCGAAAGGATGAATGAATATAAATTTAACAAGCCAAGCTCCATATAAAATCTAAGAGAGATGTCAGAAGCCTATAGTTATCCAGGGTTAGTTTAGACAAACATATGTAGATTTGAGATAGACGATGATGTCAGAATACAAGCGTACCCTTCTATGATGCCATCTATATTGCAATCTTTTCTGTTTCTGCTCCTGCTTCATGCGTGCGGTGTTGGGGATTACCACCATTCTTGAGCCCGTGAAGGGTGGCGTTGGTATTGCAGCTGAACTCACACGCCTATAACCATCAGTGGTGTCATCTGAATCTGTAAGATCTTCATCACTTGATTCATTTTTATATGAATTTGATGGAAAACCTTCCAATGCAAATCCGTCGTCAATAAGCTGCGCTTCGTGCTGCAAAAACAGAAAAGTTATTGAGCCATTTTTGTAAATCCTAGTTGGAATCAGTAACTAAAGAATCAACAGAGTGCTCTTGCAGTTACTGGAATCTTCCCCCACCAAAATGGGGTCAGCCTAAAAAGCACAATTTCTGTGACTAGCTATTATGCTGATTTCTCAGAATTTCCGTGACAAATTTTTGCACAAAGAAAATGACAAGAGAGAGGCTTGACGTAGAACCAAGTAGGATGAGGTAATTTGATGTGGAGAAGAATTTACCCAATCAGTCACGTAGTTTTAACATATCCAACTAATAGCCTTCTAAAACCCCTCAAAGTTGGAACCTATAAGTGTGAAAGATGAAAAACTCGAAAGGAATGAAGTCATCCCTGAGGCATAAGCCAAAAAACCAAGCAAAAAATTATTCACATCGCACATCAGCTTAGTACTTTACTGTGCTAACATGGAAATTGTGAGCTCAGTTATACCTATAGATTATATAATACACATGAAAGATATCTGAAATGATAAGGACATAATACCAGTGGCAGCATGACACTGAAGAAAATATATACTCCACAATCGTTCACAAAAAGTTAGTGTACTATTTATTTTAATCATGAACTTTATAAGTGCTGAATCTGATATCTATCTTGCAAAACAGTCTATTTGAAAAGGTTTTGTTTCACAGATCCGTGACACTTTGACATCCTAAAGAGGTCCAAATACTGGAGTTCGACTTATAAGAAAAAGTTATGGAATAATAAATAATACTCAAACAGCCGAGTCAATGCTGAAGCTAGAAGAAATGAAAAAAAAAATCAAACTACTTTCCCAGTCTCAACCAGGAAATTGGTAGAAACATATGATAGAGCCAACGTGATTTTGAGCTTGAAAAAAGTGAATTTCAAGGTGCTACTGTGGATGCCAGCACACGTAGGTAAGAGAAAATCTTCAAGGTTGTATAGCTCGTACAAGGAGTTAAAAGTGTTAGTATCAACCAAACTAAAAACAATTTTCAGAAGACAATGAGCTGGACACTACTTTATAAAATTATCTGGTTGAGGATGTAATGCCACCTGTTTGGTTCATTTCCTAGAACTCATGGGAAATAGGTTGTGGGACCCATTTCCATGTTTTCAAGCCCATTTCATGACTTTTTGGAAGGAAATGAGTTTCCTTAAATTTGGGACCCATGACACTATTATCTTACTAGTGAGTGGGTCTCACATGCACAACATCTCCCTTTTTCCTCTCTCAACCAAACACAAGAAAAGGAAATCAAACACCTTCACCTTCACATGGGTGTGTCGGGTGTTTTGATTTCCTTTTCTTAGTTTAGCAGCCAACCAAACAACCCCTAAAACAAAATTGCAATAGAAACATAAGACCATACAGATGTGATCTAGAGTAGACAAATAGAAAATAGGCGAAGCAGACAGGAAATTATAGTATACACCTTATACTTGATTTGAATTCGTTGAAGGCTGACTTCGCTTTCCATGACCTCCCGCTTCTTTTCTTCCCTCTGTAAATTACATTTTTTTAAAATATGGTTACTCATTGCTGCAGTCTAATAGCTGCAGTCTAATAGCTTTTCCATGGTGTAATCTCAAACAGAAACTTTATCATATCAATTGGATTAGGAAAGTGAACCTTGGTCAAAGCATCCAATACTGTTTTGGCTTGCTCCAGGTTGCGCCTGACCTGAAGAAATGCCATTCAAAAAATATGAAAAAAAAATCAATATTTCTGTTCAATGTGATAAATCTAATGAATAGCTCTAACCCACTAGCAACATTCAATGATGATTCATTAAGAAAATGTGATTGGCAGTTCAAATTTATATTGGTAAATTTGTTGTGATTAAGCAAAAGAGCTACTTCATTCTTAAGCACTTTCATAATCTGAAATATTTGAGAAAAATAAATGAAACTGCACGTCAAAGTGAGGGAAAGCCAGAGCCTGAAAACTCCACAGAAAACGAAACCTCATGACGGATGCACAGAAAACATGAGAATTGGAAGACATCAAATAGGCCAGAGACTCAGAGGTCACGCCCAATTACTTGTGTGCAACCGTGACTTAGATGCATAAACAGAAGGCAGCTCTCCTTAATACAAATAATAGATGCTTCCAATGCATTGCCAGGCCTCTCACAGTTGATTAAGGGCAGAATAGGCTCAAAATTTAAGTTACTGTTGGAATTGACAGGAAGATTGAAGATGGCACACATGATTCAAGAGGATGTTTGCTAACCAAGGTTACATCCTTCTGAAAATAAAGTACTGTGAAGATCTTGTCCAGTGACACAACTGCTCCTATTATGAGTGACATCCATTTTATAAACTTGATTACAATGAAGCTCATTGCACAATTACATAACACTATGAAAACACAATCCACCACGATACAATCGCATTGAGATTGGAAAATAATCACACAACCGACGCTAAGGATTTGCAAATAATATTACAACTGAAGTTGAGCAGTTGTAAAATTGTAATTACTTGCAGTATTCTCAAGGTGATATACGACAACAAAATATTAATTCCGTGGCCTATTTTTCATAATAATAGTAAAGAATTGCACATCCATGAAGGATGTATTTGTTTTGAATGAGAGTGGAGGAAAGGAAAAGAAACCATAAGCCGAAGTTACTCGTAATTAGGTTCTGTTGGAAAAATAAGAAGGAAAAGAAAATGAGATAAAACTTGAACATTAAAAAAAACTTCTTATTTTTCTTCCATAACCTAGAGAGACGAGAAAGTGTAATGGAGATATCTAAACCTCATTGGGTCTTGTGTGATCTCATTTATCATGCTCAAGCTTGCAGGAACTTGACTGGATCAAATTTGAGTTGCAATGATTTTAACAGAAAAGAAAAGAAGGTTCCCTCTCAAACTTTCTAAGGTTCAACACAAGAAAATAGCTGATAACATCGTCAAAGTATATAAAAAATGATAATATCTGACATAACATTTCATGTTGACCTTACACCAACATTTCATAAGTTTGTGCTAAATTTTATACCGAGATGGGGAAAGGCTCCACAGAAAGTAGAGACATGACTTAATGTCTGTAGAATAGAGCATAAGACCTATTGGTTCCCAGTGGCATGACCATAAATGCAGTGTTTAATGCTTACAAAATATACCCATTTGTCCCGTCAAAATCTATCAACTTCTTAAATAACAATCCATTGCTTGGCCTCAACTTCTAATGCAAGCACTCTAGTTAATAACCAATGAAAAAAGAAGTGGGGACAGGTGCCTACCTGACGAAGTTTTTCAAAGGACTGAACATTATTCTCCCGCCTTTGCATCTGAGGTAACAGAATACATTAATGATCATAGCAAAATATCTTTTATCGTATTTGTTCCCATTTAACAGTTACACTAGGAAAAAAATATAAATTTGTGGTAAAATAAGTAGATATTTCTGATATATGCAGTTGAACTCACCCTTCTGGTGTGAAGACGGTGAGCTTTCTCCCTCGGTCTGAATACATTGTAGGGATTTGTATCATTTACAGGTGGAGGTGGCTGCAAAATTAAACACTTGGGATGAGTGATCAATAAATAATCTTCCCAATGAGAAAAATAAAGGATAAGAACCCAGTATGAGAAAAAATAAATTTAGTGTAATAGACAGAAGGCATGCAATATAGCATAAAGAAGGGTGCACTAAAGAAGCATAACAGAACTACTGACATAACTGTTGTACTGCTACTGCAGTTAGTCTTCATGTTGTTGTGAAAATTTACTGGTCAAAATAGCAAAGCAAGCATATACAGAAAATGAAATAAATATGAACATAAGGGAATTATTTAGCAGTACAATTGATATATTGAAGAAGTGATAGCATGGGTTGCAATCTTAATAATAAAAAAACTTTTCAATCAACGTACAATCGGTCAAAGTCATGAAGAAAAGAACTGGCAGCAGAAAAATTAAATTACAATGATAAATGTTCATATTTGAAAGAAAAAGTAGAATCTGGTATTACTCTGTGTCCATTATGCAGACCCAGAAGTAATAAGAATAACAAAACAGAGTGACAGAAGTTGCATCCTTGGATTGTAAAGGTTTGCCGTGCACACATAAGAATAGCATGAAACTGATCAACACATTCAGAAAAGATAAACGGTATATTTAGATGGTAACGATGGGAAAAAACTGCAGTAGAATTAAGAATATAGTTCCATAGTAATGATTCATTGCTCCTTCAAAGAAACACTTAACTAATCTTTCAGAACATTCTCGAAACATTGCATTTTTCAAAACTCTTCATGCCTAGTTATAAATGAAAGAAGAAACAATTTCCCCCATTTGCTGGTAGTGAAGTATGAAGACTAATAAAGATGCAAATAAGATGGAAAAAACATTCTGGTACTGTACTTTAGCAGCAAGGTCATGGAGCACGCAATAAATGCAATCTGCGTAAGTAATGGCATTGCAGAAGAAAGAGCTCATAGACGCACAAAAGAAACAGGTTGATTGACACTAACAGAGAATTATAGACAGTGGTATCATACATCATATAACACTCATCAATTGACGCAATCAAGAGATATAAGAAGTTTTTGTGTTCTGATACAGTTTCCCAAAATACTATTACTGCTTTAGCAATATATCAAAATGGCACCAAATATTGATAACAAAGAACATACTTGGCTTGCATTTTAGTATCAGTACCACAAATTCCATCAGTTAAAAGAAAGACGTTTCTGACGCCTTGAATCTTAAATGATTTTCTAAAAGAAATAATAGGCTTTCCAAATGAATTGTTAAACCCTTGCTTTCTTTGAATTTTTTTCTAGACTTCTTTTTGTTTCTATGCGATACTTCCTACTTAATACTTTTAATATCATGTAGAAATAGTGAGTTTGAACTTAAAAATAACAAGTGATGATTAAAAAATAAATGCAAGTGCCCTGGATGGAAACTCTGAAACAACCAAGGGTTTAGCATTCCATTAGAAAAATGTAATGTGTTTAAAGAATAGCACTAAAAACTAGAGGGGCCAAATATGATTTTATGTCATGTTAACTGGACATATACAATAATACCTTGGTGTTGGTGTTTCTGTTTTCTTCTCAAGAATATGTAATTTAAGAGCATTTCCCTAGCAATGGTCACTTGCGTTAATACTAAGCAAAACCAAATAATATTCATGGTAATAGGAAGTGCTATCAGCGTAAATGTGCAAATTTACACAATATATGAACTTTTACAAACTAGCAGAAGCCGCAGAACTTCTCGCCAGTTTCATCAACATGACCACATAAACATTTCTGCTTTTTTTCCTGCAATGTATATATAGTAATTTTACTTAAATTGGTTCCAGCAAATTCAAACTAATGACCTACTGATTGTTGTCGATTGCTCTATCACATGGCCATAACCACATCGTAATTTATGCAATAGAATATTCATGATTTATATTACAAAAAGGTTTCATATTACCTAACACCTATATGAAAAATTGTGAGTACTCATATTTTACATACAACAATCTCTACAACTATTGTAACAATCATAACAATTATTGCAGCAAACATACGTGGAGATGACCTTAAGATGATATAAGAACAGACCAATTATACGGTTCTACTTCTAGTTATGTGAACTAACTGACCTGCAACCGCCGGAGGATTGGTTTTTGCCACTGCTCCCGCTGGTAAAAGATGATAAATCATGTGTAAGAACTTATGCTACAATTGAGACAATGGTACTGAGTAAAATTAGTAAATGTAACGATTGAAAGAGCTACATGTCTTTTTATACAATTGAAATTGATATTATATGGTTCAGCAAGAAAACCAGTTGGGTTCTGTGCACCATATTTGTCAAAGATTATGCTTTCCTAATTTCTTATTAAAGTATAAAATATACCTTTCTTTTCCAATAATTATACACAGAGTGAAAAACCGCAAATCTCACAGATTGTTGCACTTGCAAGGCCTGCAAAATGAAGCAAATAAATTGTAAGAAGATAAGGGAGCTGAGATTCAGTATAGCAATCCAAATTTAAAAAAAAAAAGACAAAATAAGGAAGTACAACAAAAAATTAAAGTCCAACGATTGAAAAAAGGAGAGACATGTATAACCAAGAGAGTGTTTAATTATCATATACTGTGTGCAATTCAAGAAATGCATGCCAATGGAGTAGTAGGAGGTGATGAAACTATTAAGTCAAAATAAGTTTATGGAGAAACGCATTTCATACGCGCGCAAAGGCACGCACACTTCGCGAGCGTGCCCACACGCGCGCGCATAGATGACCATCTTAAAATCCTCCTCTTCATGTTATATTATGACCTATCGGCTAACTCTTCTTATGGCAGAGATACATACCTTAATAATCACAATACATTAGAAAAATTCTCAAATCAACGGTAGACGCAAATAAGATGAATCTAACCAAAGTGGAATTCTTCAGAGCAAATTAATAGAGATAGATAAATAACATAATCCATTTTCTCTAGTGATTTATACCGCCATTAAATGGCACAATGCACAATCTACTGAAAGGACATAAAAGGAAATGAAATATTTCAATCAGCACACTGTTAAAGATTCAAAGTATCACCTCGGCTGCAGCATCGAGCTGTAAAAGTACAGGTACAGGAGCACCAAAAGTAGGAGTGATAACTCCTGCCCTTTCTCGAGTTTTATGATCCAAAACCTCAAGCTTAAATAGAAGAGTCTCAAACCTGGATTTAAAAATGACATGTGAATTACAATATCACCAAGAAAAGAGGAACATATTGATAAGATAGAAATTGAATACTGCTGCATTGTATGGATTGCAATGACATGATATGTGCATTCAACCAGTTTGAGATTGTATACGTAGAATTAGAGCAGCATGCAATAATAAAAATACAACAAAACTTAGGCACAACAGTGTCACAGTCCATACATGTATACAAATATATTGCACCGCTAGTGTGAGGTACCAACATATCAATTTTCTTGCAATTCTAGACTCCATCAACAAAGACATGACATCAGTCTTACAAGAAGCCTGTTATATGCCAAAAAAAAAAAACCTTCCATCTTGTAGCATGTCCAGTGTAAAAATGTCAAAAGAGAAACAAGTTCTCCACATGTCACATGACACTAGGAAGTTTTTATTTAAAAACACTACTTACACTCAGAATAACACCCTTAGATCTCCTAAACAATTGACTTATGGTAGAGATGCTAAAACGAGGTTATAGGCTACAAAATTTTCGTATGTGCAATTCTAGGAGCAACAAGTTCTTCTAAACATTCAGAATAATCTCCAGAACTCATGTAGTTTCTCCTAAAATGCTGCAAACAGAAAGATTAGAAGTACAGAGAAACCAAAAATGAATGCAGAAAGGTCTTCAAAAATAAAGCAGAAATAAATTAATATCGCATCAATGTAAAACCCCACAACTCTCATATGTTCTGCCCCTACATGTGACTAAAATACTTTAAAACCATTAAAGCTCACGCTGAAAGAATTTCTTGACTGTCTACAGCTATATATATTTCCTCCATAGAATCCTGTGACTCCTTCTCTCACCTTTTATGGGAGTGGCGTGCAACAGTAGTTGATAATCTAGCAAAATCATTCCTGTATTATAAAATCCTACTTTCTCTGTCATAAGATTAGCCATCAAATAGCTTAAAATTTGATCCTAACGATTAGCTCTTCGGGTCTCTAAGAAGAAGGTAAAATTAACTTTCACGGTCATCAGAAAGGTATAGAGATTAAAATGCCAATCTACTTCTAGTTCCAACAAAGTGTCCTTGCTGATTCTTGGCCTTAGCCATAACATCTCTAAGGTTCTAACATATAATAGAAAAATAATATCGTTCAAGTTAATCAAGATTATACTAGATTTAGTAAACATCTTCAACGCAACTACTAATCTCATTCTCAAATTTCCCAAATATTTCCTTTAACATTTTCCGCACTATATAATATCCTAATATTATGATCATATTGGACTCTACATATGCAAAGTTCACAAATTTAATGTGTATTGACAAATTCAAACTGCGAAGTAAATATGTAAAGATCTTATCTGACATTTTAGTTCCATGAAGTACGAGAAGAAAAGGGGTTACATAGCAGTTGTCAGTTGATGATGATGAATATGAAGAATATATATTTTAAAAGCAGACATAGTAATATTAGTATATGAAACTGAGGAGTTCTGATGTTACTTCTCAGGTGGAAGAATCCTCTTCTCATTGTTGAACTCTAGAAGCCAATCTTCATCCTCATTGTCAAGATCATACTCAACAAACTCCCCGATCTCAGCCCTAGCTGCACAGTGGAATAAATATAATAAAAGATGAAGCTAACAAAGTTGCCACCGTATGACCAAGTACGCATCAGAAGTATGCCAGTACTAACCTCCTCTGCCACGTAAATATGATGTCGGCTGTGAAAAAGTGCGGGTATAATCTCTTTCATATGTGTCCACTACATCATACTGTGGAGTAGGTATTTCTGATGAACTTTTCTTGCTAGATATATTATGCACCTATAATAGAACCATCATTTAGCAAATCCTTGCTAGCAACACAAGTATGCACATCCTTAAAGCAGCCATTTTACACAACTATAGCAAGCATAACTTAAATATTATAGCAGTCATCTGACAGAATTAATAAATTCATTAGTTTTTCAGGTTAGTTAAAGCATTCAACGAAGAAGTAAAGCATTTGGAGGCTTGTTAATTCAATCTTGTCCCTCCCGTCTGTGTGGTATGTACTTTCTCCTTTACCTTGAGCTATAAAGAAATGTACAAAAAGAAAACAGAAAAGACCACAAGATCGCTAAGAATTATAGTCATCTATACAAATAACAGACAGAAGGCAAATACGATAAATGTAACAATAATCTAGTTGAATTGGCAGTAAACAAGTGTATTAGTAGTCTTGCAGTGGAGGCCAATTTGCTAAAGTAAAAAAATGAAATTTATTTTCAAATAAGAATTGACTCTAATACCAGATTATTCCAATCAGATACCGATGAAAGTTCTTCCGTCCTCCTTTCTCTTATCATTTTTACGGTCTAGGAGGACTAGTCATTGAACTAAGAACTTTACCCTGATAGTATGTGTTACTCAGTGACTACTCTCCCCTCGACCGAGCTTCCGCGCTATCTCCGATTTCTCTATCGCATCCTGCTTACTTATACTCCATCCCAGCTCATCCTTTTACATGCTCCCTCCTGATATTCTCGTAACTATATCCTACCGCTGACCTACTCAGCGCTCCTGTCCTTATCACTATTCTCTCGAATCTCTCCTCAAGCACAGATTAACACTCAGATCCTGCTGTGACATCTCACCTCGCTTCCTGCTCCTCTCTCCTATTATTGCTCCACGTGTATCTACGCGTGTCTCGCGCATGTCTATTCTCTTTCTCACTCCATACAGATGCACCATCACTGATCATTGATCAGCTATAACTGTCAAAAAGTCATAGTGACGGGGTGGAGCTAGATGTCGCTGTGGGGGCTTCAACACCCCCCCCCCCCCGCCTCAGCCCCCTCACAAAACGCACCCCCCACCCCCCAAAAGAAAAAAAGAAAAAAAGACCTTTGGGACTTCATATAGCTTTAATAGAGTAATGGTCTGCTTTTGTTGTCTTAAGGAATTGAACCACAAATAAATAAAATAAATCATAACTTCTAAAGTTGAACTGATAGTAGTTATACCCCTACAGTCATGGCTATCAATGTAAATCTTATATTCATCTAAAAGTTAATTAGAATTAGCTTGGATGATGACAAATATGTCTATTGGAGATTTTAGCCAATCATTGAAAGAAATGAGTTATAGTAATTCAATGTGAGGACTTGAAAGTGTGTGGTCGCTATTTGGATGTCTTGATACTTGTGATATTTAGCCAGCTTACATACACACAGAGCTATGTTTCATAAGGTCATTATCCAAGTGGATTTTCAAAAAAAAAATCTTTTCACTCAATAAATTTCTAGTCCGTATGACCTTTTCCATGTGGATTTGAATAACTTTGAATGAGAAAATTACATATTTGGTTTGAAGTTAATGTCCTTTTTTTGGTGAAATAAATAAGAGGGCACTTATGTATATTAGATTATTAGCCCTCCCAAGAAAAAAATTTCTGGCTCCACCACTGATTGTGACAACATCAGAATTCAACTTAATCAGTCACCAAAGGTCCAATTTCCTAGTCCACTGTTCTGCATTTCCAAAAGCAAGATTGTTGCACTTATCGTGAACTATTGCCAAACTTCCATATTTAGGTCTAACGTAGCCAAATAGAGAGAGTGTTTTCCCCCCTCATGCAAGATCCTTCAGCAAATTGTAAGGACTCACTCCACGTCAGTTGAGTCCATCAAATATAGCTATGTATATACCAATCTATGAAGTGCTCAATCTCTAGATTTACATTACTTAAAAAAATTTAGCACACCACAAGCAGAAAGTAAACATTAAAATCAAATACTAAATGGAACACTGTTTGTTTGCAACATTCTAGCAAGACAAATATAACTTCCATATTCAGCCTTTGAGCAACATCACAGAACTCCAAAATTCTTAACAGAACTCTTTGATTTAGTATTCAGCACATGAAATATGAAGTTATGCATGCACCAAGAGGAACTCGAAGATATAGAACAACATCACTTACTAGCATAAACGAATGAATATACATCTAGTAATCCATAATGTAGAAGCACCACACAGAATGCATTTTATATTTACTCTATCACCTGCATGTAGAGCTTATGCTCTTGACCATCTATAAGTAATCTTATGTCAAGAATGAAAACCAATGCCTTGCTTGCACCCTTATCCAAACACATCCATGCCATACCTATTGTGAAATGTAGCCACACATCAAACAGATCTTGTTGCAGGTTTCCACAGACTACTGAGAGCAGTTTAAACTATGACATTAATACCTGAGAAACCTCAAACTACTGCAAGATCCTCTCAAAATGTTCTTAAAGTAGGCCAAATATAAATTTTCTCAATTATATCCAGTGTCACTCTTATCTTTTGAAGAAAAGGAAAAAAAAACACATTGAGAAAAACTTACTATAAGACTTATAGACAACATAACTAAGGTCAAGGTCCAAATCACTTACAAAAATAATATATGAGGAAAAAATCAAATAAAGCCTAAGATAGAGATTTAAGCAGAAGGCAAGGTGCTTGCAGATCTAATAATCATAGAAGTTCAAAGCTTATATCCCAACCCTTAGCAGAAGTTCTTCTACTGTGCTCATGCTTTTCGTAGGTAAACATATCCATTTTGTTGTAGAATATGATTTCCATCAAAGATTCTCAATTATATCAAATAAATGCATGATGTTGCATAAGGAGATATAATAGTAGGAGTGTATAGAGAAATTCAAAACATAACTCATGTTTACAAATTCTATAAAAGCAGTAAATATTCAACACCAAGGCACGGAATATTATATAAGTATTTTGTTTTAGGCTGTTAGCATAAGTGTCAATAGTTAGAATTAAGATAAAGTTTACATCATTGTAAAGATTCCTCAATCATGTCCAAAACGTACATATTGGTCCAAATTTTAAAAAGAGCTCAGTTGATTAAAAAAATTCAATTACTCATTGCGAAAGAAAGAATGTTGATTTATCTTATTATAGATTAGGGAGGATACAAGATTATTCAAGAACATGTATCCCTGAAGAGAATCAAAATGCACTTTCTGCGAAGAACCCTCTTAAGTCAATCAAAAGTTAAAAGACACTGAATGCTTTCAATAATAGAAGAAGTCAATGTCCTAAAAAAAGCTTAAGATTGAGCTTTAACTAGCCTAATAGCTTTAACTATCCTAATGGACCGACCAAAACTTATTACTTGACTGGCTAGCTTAGCAAATAGAAAAAAGAAACATTAGTTTTATTTTGATACTCTTGAATAATTTTTTCAAGTCATAAGGTACACTATCACAATTCCTCAAATATCACAATCTCATGGCTAGCACTGCAAATATAACAAGCAGCAGTAACACAGTGTTTGTTTATCAGAAAGGTCCTTATCTAAGGATAACATGTGATTCTTCAATAGCATTCAGTATCCACAATCTACATACCACAGGAAGTAGCCAATGTTGAAAAATAATTAACTTGCCCATTATAGAGTCCGCCTAGAGCAGTTCACATTATTTGCAAATCAAAAGAAGCAGCAGTAATTAACTTCCATAAAAGTGAACTCCAGCTAAATATTGACCCAGTTCATCTGTTTCAAATTGGAATTACCTCATTGTCAGCCTCAGCAAACCGAAGCAACTGAGAGTTGCGAGTGGAAGCAGCCGCAATGGGCGCATCATCGTCCTCAAACTCCTTTATAGATTTAACAATGGGAAGCTTCTTGTGAATATCAAGTGGGCGCGGTCTAAATGAGAGCCTACTCATATCTTCTCATGTCTCATTCAAATTCAATATTTGCACACTTCATCAGCGCTAAAGAACTCCCAAATTTAGGTCACTCCGCAATCGACCAGAGCTCAGAGAAGCAAAATGGCACCAAACGGCACAAAATGCAAATAAGTGATAGGAAACAGTGGAACCCTAGAACCCCAGAGCCAATTAACAAATACCTAAATCAACAAATGGTCGAAAAAGAGTAAAAACAATGCGACTTTCTCTCTGTTCAATGATGCCCTAGGTCTACAAGCGACATAACAGATACCGTTGCTATCCAAAATTCAAAATTTAATCGATATCCCAACTCAGAGACTACTAGAATAGAAACCCTAAGGAACTCCCGAAGCTAATTTGGGGATTTTGGGGACGAGGCAGCGTCAAGTAGGGAAATTAGGGCACAGGATCTGTATTAAAAAAAAACTAGGGTTTTGAGAAGAAAGGGATTGAATGATAAATATACAAAAACAAAATAGGGTTAAACGAGGGAGTATTGCTAGGGTTTTTAGGAGTATTTGTTTCTAGGGTTTTGAAAGGGGGAAAAGGGAGGGAAGCGAAGAGAGAGCAGGAGCGGGGATGAGAGAGAAAGGGGCGTTTCTTCGTCGGGGACTTTTCTTCCTTTCTCTCTCTTCGATGGAGAAGAGAATCTACGGATACGATACGGTGTCTAGCGTATGCGTACGTTGACTATACCATCCGCAGCAAGTGATATCCACTTCAAATTTAGAATTTATGTTCTAAATTTTCTTCCAATTTATTGTTTTTTTTTCTTGAAATTAAGAAGATGTTACAACATTTTTAATGTTTAATCTCTCGACACATTGCGTCTCTCCAGTACGCACTAGTCAATTATTTAAGATAAATCTCTTTAAAATTTTGATCATAAATTTTATCCGAAAGGAAATCGCTCACCGTTTCTGTTTTATTATTATTGATCATTATCACCTGACACCTTTGTTTATATATTATGAGATAAACCTTTGTAATTCATATCCAGAAAGTGAAAACGATTTCACCACAAGCAAACAAATTAATCTATATAGATACTTTTATAACTACGATTGATTTATTCTAGACTTCCTAAGAACTCATTTTAACGATTCAACTTTTAAAATATGAATCGAATTTGCTATTTATTTGCTTCAAATTCCAAGATTTACCATCTTTGTTGCCTAAAAATAATGTCGGAGCTACATAGTGTATAGTTGCGTTAGAGGGCACCACTAAAATTGTGTTACTCTTACTCATATTTTATTTGGAAAAAGTTCATGCAAGCAAAAAATGTTTTACTTACTGTGAGTTGAAAATGGCCTACAAGGACAAAAGTGATAACATCTACTTCTCTAAGCTACGTAGCATAATAGTATGGTCCCATTCTTGGATTCAATCGCGAGCTAATCATACGTCAATCTAGGAGAAGAAACCCTCATACATTATATTTTATTTTGTGCTATTTTGGTTTGGGGTGCAACAAAGGAACAAGCCTTGGTGGGCATGGGACCTCCATTTGTTTGTTGGCTAAATGAAAGCTACCTCTCTTCATCGTGGTGGTATTTTTGAGATTTGCTTGGCAATTACAGTTTGCCAAATAGTAATTATAGGCTTTGACTATCTTCTTTCATTTTAGTGGTTTGAGTACATCACACCCATTTGTTAATAACGAGGAAAAGTTCCCCTAATGATATGATGGCAAGCTTTAAATCACGATTCATTATTATAAAATCATAAGGCAAAGTTTAATTTGAAAACCGTTAGTTCCACGTAATGGCCTTCACAATAAAAAAATCAAAACAAAACAAATTCATATATGCACATTTATAGTATGAAGAAAGTTTTTTAAAACTTTATTGTTTCTTCTTTTTATATCTTAGTTATGCTTGAAAATTAGAATCATATTTTTTTTGGAAAAATTGTTTCAAAGCCCCAAATCTAAAAAAGTCATGTGCCCCAGCCCTATGTACTTTTGCCATGTGTATAAACCCAAATTACCTTAAAAAATTCGTTTCATCATTGCTAACTCAGCCACTTGAGATCAAAATTTTTAAAACCCTATTCTACCCCTAACCGGTTATCGCTACAGCACCCATGATTTTGGTAACCGCACCTGCCCACTCTCTAACTCAAATCAAGTTCTCTCTCTCTCTCCTCTCTCCTTCTCTCTCTCTCTCTCTCTCTCTAAGGTTAATAGTAGCCGGCGAAATCCCAAATCTCCACGCAATCTCTACTCTAGGGTTTTGCCAAATTCAGCAGAAAATGATCGAAATCTCAATGGCAAACCCAGATTTCTCAAAAGCTAGAACAAAAGATGATCAATTCGAAGTTGTTCACCATCCTCCTTCGCCGTTGCAAGAGCATGAACCAGTGGTGATGGATGACGAGCGACAAGACTCGTCTTCGACCATTGTTAAAGACCCCCCTTGCACTCGTCGACTGAAAAATCCCCCCTCATATTCGAAGAATGTTAAACATCCCCTTGCCACCGAAGAGTTGTAAAGATCCCCTCTGCCGTCCAAGACCGACAATGGACCCTCTACTCTCTCATCACCCTCCCCTTCCAAGTCTTTGTCCACCCATACGTCATCATTAGGGAATAGCACTGATGAAGCCACCCAGACCCTATTGGGCATGCAAAAGGGATTACCAAGAAAATTGAAAATTCCAAGTTCAAAACATGAATTAGAGAAATCCAAAAAGAAGTAAGTTTATGTTAAATTTAGATGGATTGATGTTACAGATTAATGTTGGTTCATTGTGAACTATATGTCTGGATTTGTGAAATGTAACATATTAATATTACAGATGAATGATTGGCTATTAGGTATCGTTATAGCTTGTTAACATTTCTTATAAACTGTTAAGTCTGAAGTTTGGTTGATGATAATGGTATTTGATACCCAACTTTACACATTATGCATTAAGTTTTATTGATCGATAGCAAGTCTAGTGAATAATTGTCAAGGAGTATAGCATAACTGTTACATTTCATTGTTGATTGTTACTATTGGCTGTTGGATGTTAAGTTTAGATAGATTAATGTTAAATGTTAAATTTTATTATAGAAAAAATCTGGTAATGCTGCAGAAATTAGACCTACCGCTAGTTTAGTGCATATTATGATTTTATGAAAGTACTTGAACATAGAATGAAGCAATGACACTAGGATGCATACTAAGGGTGCACATTTGAGCATTATGTAATATTTCCCCAACAGTAGATCGACCCACGCTTGAACTTATTTTGAGTCACTATGTAGGACGTGAAGTGACGTCTGTTCTGCTCGATGCCGACAGTGTGAACGAAAAGATAGTTGATTTTGATTTGGATTGTATTCATGATCACACTGGTTTCCCAATTGATAGGAAAATAATTTACAGCAATGGAGATCCTCACACTAGGATTTACATGGAATATTTTGCTGAGCAATTTACTATAAATGAAAAAGAATCACCAAAGAATATGCAAAGATATGTGGAAGGGCTACTAGAATCTCTTGTTGAATCAAAATGAAAAAGAATCACCAAAGAATATGCAAAGATATGTGGAAGGGCTACTAGAATCTCTTGTTGAATCAAAAAAGAAGAAGGATATTGAGGATTATGCAAAGATATGTGGAAGGGCTACTAGAATCTCTTGTTGAATCAAAAAAGAAGAAGGATATTGAGGACTTTGTGTTGCTGCTGATTTTTTATCAATGTTCGATGATTTGGTGCCCGAGCAGTGTGTAAGGCATCTCTAGGCTCTTGTTCAAATATATTGATAGCATTGAAAGAGTGAAGAATATGGCCTGGGGAAAATTCATTTATGACCAGACGAAGAAAGAAATTAAGATTGCTAGGGAAGGTCTGAACAAATCAGGGGCTTTATATGTGCCTAGATGCATGCCTCTGATCCCTGTAAGTTATATTAACTTTTTTAAATGTTATGGTTAACCTGTACATGTGAACGTTTATGTGTATTCTGTCAACTAAAGTTAAAGATAATTAAGGTTAACCGGTTCATGTTAACTATATTGAGATTAGTGTTAAGGTTTGTTAGGTTAATGTTAACTATATTTGATGAATACCACAGTTCAGTTTATTTCTGTCCACTATATTTTCTTGTTTCGTGTTAACCTAAATAATTAGTGCATGTTAATTGATTAATTAGAACAATTTATTTGTAGTTCTGGCAAAATAACAGGAAATATGCCCTAAGCAACAGATTCAAGTCACCATTGACTAACTGGGTGATGATTGTAGAGAAGTCTGGATCTCTCCGAAAGGAAACAATCGTTGCAAAAGCATGAAAAACAAGCATTGCTATTGTACACAAACCTATAGCTGAATTTGGCCCGCGGGTTTAAAAATATCAACTTAGAAGGCCAAATATGAGGGAAGATGCTTTATTGAGGATTAGAAGAAAAGAGATTTCGCCAGTCCCAATAAAGAAGCATCATATGCAACATTCTCCGAAAAAAGTTATCAATGAGAAGAAAGCGGATAGGAGGAAAAAGCCTGCAGAAGAAAAGAAGGAAGAAAAGAAAAACCATCAATAGGTTTGTTAAGATCTAAACCAGTGTATATTCAGTTTATATTTTTAACTATTAAGTATATCAGATGAACTATTAACTTTGATAAAAGGATGTTAATGTTACTTGCTTGCATGTTAATAACTATTGTGTATATGTGAACTGTATCCAGTATCTGTTTGATTTAAGTAATATGTGTGAACTTTAGCGTTTAACCTGTTAACATTTTAGAAGCAAATGTTAACTTTTGTTTTTTTTATAAACAGATTATATCAAACGCTATTAATGATGTCTTTCAAAAGGAAGATGAGATTAAGGAGTTACCATCTGAGAAGCAGCTCAAATTCTAGAGAAATGATGCTAAATTAAATCAAAGAATATGTCATGCACTGAGGCATTCAAAGAAATTGTATTGTCAAACCTTTATGAATGAAATCCGTAGGCTTAATGAAAAAGTTAAAAGATTCGAGGGATCTGGTGACATAATAGATCCTAAAGTTTTAAAAGAAAATATGAAGAAGTTTATTGCAAAGCAAAAGAAAGGAAAGCCAACCACGGATGAAGCTGACCGACATGATGACAATAGAGATTTCTTTGATAATGAGTTCAGACCGATTATGAAGATGGTAACCTTCAGGAGTATTTCAGTAGAAACGAAGAAGTGAGAGACGAAGTAAATAAGAATGAAGAGAGCGAGTAGTTGAATGAGAAAATAGTTGATGTGGAGGAGGAGACACAACTTGAGACTACAAATGTGCATACGCAGAAGGAGGTAACTGGGTATGAGGACATCCCACTCTGCAAATTGATGAAGAGAATGAAGAAGACGGTCTCCAAAAGCTATGTGATTCATAGGAGTAGAGCTCCATGCACAAGAGCTATCAAGAGATTGCAATTGATTAGGACCCCATTCACCAAACAAAAGAAACCAAAATCTAAGGAATGAGACCACAAATGTGAACCACTTGTTGTCACTGACGACGTAGGTGAAATAAAAGTTTACTATGGTGACAGCATTGCCAATTGGGACTTGTTAAAATGTACATATTTGTCGAATGTTGATCGTGCTGCTTTAAAGAACGTGAATGAGGGGATTCTTGAGGTAGCTTAGTTTAG